AAAAGGTGGGATCATGGATTCATAGAGTTGAAAGGGACCTCTAGGGTCATCTAGTCCAACCCCCTGCAATGCAGGAATCTCAAACGAAAGCATCCCTGGCAGATGGCCATCCAGACTCTGCTTAACAACCTTCGAGGAAGGAGAGTCCACAACCTCCCATGGGAGACCGTTCCACTGCCAAACAGCTCTTACTTTCAGAAAGTTTTCCCCCGTATGTTTAGATGGAATTCCCTTTCTTGTAACTGGGAGCCATTGCACTTTGAGAGCATACTGGCAAGGATGATGATGATGATTTATTAGTACTGTTTTTGGGGGACAGGGGGCGGGCGGGTGTGGAGGACTCCCTGGTCCTGAATGGGGTCACTGTGCCCCTGAAGGACCAGGTGCGCAGCCTGGGAGTCATTCTGGACTCACAGCTGTCCATGGAGGCACAGGTCCATTCTGTGTCCAGGGCAGCTGTTTATCAGCTCCATCTGGTACGCAGGATGAGACCCTCCCTGTCTGCAGACTGTCTCGCCAGAGTGGTGCATGATCTGGTTATTTCCCGCTTGGACTACTGCAATGCGCTCTACGTGGGGCTACCTTTGAAGGTGACCCGGAAACTACAACTAATCCAGAATGCGGCAGCTAGACTGGTGACTGGGAGTGGCCGCTGGGACCAAATCGTTCGTAAACAGGACTGTTCTTAAACCGACGTACCACTGAAATTATTATTATTAGACTTTTAGAAGACATCCCTGTTTAGGGAAGCTTTTAATGTTTGATGAATTTTAATACTTTGTTGGAAGCCGCCCAGATGGGCAGAGTATAAATAATAAAATTATTACCCTGTCCATCCGGCTGTGTTTCCCCAGTCACTCTGGGCAGCTCCCAACAGATTAAAAACAGAATAAAGCATCAAATATTAAAAACTTCCCTAAACAGGGCTGCCTTCAGATGTCTTCTAAAAATCAGATAGTTGTTTATTTCCTTGACATCTGATGAGAGGGTGTTTCACAGGGCAGGCGCCACCACCGAGAAGGCCCTCTGCCTGGTTCCCTGTAGCTTCACTTCTCGCAGGGAGGGAACCACCAGAAGGCCCTCGGAGCTGGACCTCAGTGTCCGGGCAGAACAATGGGGGTGGAGACTCTTTCTTCCCTAGTTAACCCCAGAGAACAACTTTCAGCAGAAAGTAGGGACAAGTCTTGAAAAAGCACAACATGTTTCAAGGGCTTATAGAACAACCTTTGGACAATCTGGCAGGGTTTGGAAACTGGTCTCCCCGCCCTGTTGGCTCACGACGCTGGCTCTGATGTTTGGAGAATATAATCTCTGGACTGTAGACTTTTCCCCGCCTGAAGCTGCTACCCAGTGGAGCGATGGATCTGCTGGGGAGCGCAACAATCTTCTTGGTCATCTGCCTGCTCTTCCTCTTGGTTTGGGGGACGAGACCTAAGGCGAAAAACTTGCCTCCTGGGCCAACACCCCTTCCGTTCGTTGGGAACCTCCTGCAGCTGAAGGTGCAGAACCTGGTTGCAAACTTCCGAGAGGTAAGGATTGGGGCTTCAGCTAAGCCGTGTCCCAGGCTCCCTGACCCACTGGGATTTTGGGCAGGCCTTGTCTCCTGGCTATCTGTTTATTTTTTATTTTTTCCAAAAAAAATATTAGTTTTCACAATATTATAAACAAACAAACACACAAAACAAACAAACATAAACCATAGCCTTATTGAAAATTACAGTTATTGACTTTGTTAAGCGACTTCCTCGCTTCCCCTTGGTTGAATTTCATTGCATGTCCTTTTAACGGTTTTCCAAATCCCAATTTTTATGAAATTTAACTTAAACATTAACATCCTTAGATCTTCACCTTATGGAATTAATCATATTAATTCATCACTTAACATACGGTAAATAAAATCCTAAGCCCGTTAAGTATCTGCTAGCTGTTTTCAGTTAGTTTAATTTAGCAAATTTAACTAAATAATCTTTAATTTTTAATTTTTTTGGGGGGGTGGAACCAATCTATTTTTTTTATATAAAATATTTATTAGGATTTTACAATAAACATAGGTTTAAAGAGTTAAGAAAGTTAAAACAAAGATTAACAAACTAAAAAGAAAACATAGAAAGAAGAAGAAAAAAGATAACAAGAAAAATACAAAAATTACCAAAAAAAGACCTAGAGGGGAAAAAAAGAAAATACAAAATACAAAAAACAGATAGCTAAGAATTTTTTAAAAAAAAAAAAAATCCATTTTTCAATATCTTTAGGCTCATTTACTTGTTTCCTTGACCTCCTCACACCTCCCCTTTTTGTATTCCCGTTTACAAAATCCTTTCAGCAAATCCTTACCCTCTTTCATTTATCTTTATATCTTAACCTATTATAACTATATATTTTCATCCATATATCTATCTATATTTGCATATTCTTATTAACCTTATTACCAAAACCACTTATTTTCAATCCAACATCATTTTAACATTCATTAATTTTACAGTATTTCTGCAAATAGTCTTTAAATTTCTTCCAATCTTCTTCCACGACTCTTCTCCCTGGTCTCGGATTCTGCCAGTCATTTCCGCCAATTCCATATAGTCCATCACCTTCATCTGCCACTCTTCCAGGGTGGGTAAATCTTGTGTCTTCCTAAATAATCTTTAAATTTATTCCATTCTTCCTGATACTCCTCCTCCTTCTGGTCGCGGACCAGGCAAGGATTCAGAAGGAGACATCTGGCAGCAGCTGGGGAGGCAGGCTGGGCTAGGGGGTGCCATTTGGAGGACGAGAGGAAATGGTTGCATTAATATATATATATATATTTAACATAGTGTCATACCTCGGGATGAATACACTTCAGCTTAAATATTTTTATGTTGCGCTCCGCGGTGACCCAGAAGTAACAGAGCACGTTACTTCCGGGTTTTGCCACTTGCGCATGCGCAGATGCTCAAAATGACGTCACGCGCATGCGCGGAAGCGGTGGAACGTGACCCGCACACGCACAGACGTGCAGTCGTGTCTTACGCTTGCTTCAGGATGCGAACGGGGCTCCGGAACGAATCCTGTTCGCATCCAGAGGTACCACTGTAATTGTTACAAAATATAAGCAAAATATTGCAAATACATACGTACATATATATTTCAAATAAGCACATATATATGAAAAAACGAACAGAAGAGAAAAGAAGAAGAAAGAAAAAAGAAGAAAAAATAAAGAAGAAGAAAAGTTGGAAGAATTTCTTCCAAGTTTATTCTACAAATATCTCAATATGAAAATAATAATAAAATTTCATTGATTGGCTTCCATCGCTTTCGCTGCACTTCCTATATACATTTTAAGCAAGATTGTATCTGTCGTTCCGTATTTCCCCCATACAATCTGACACAAATATTCTAATCAATGTTTTCTAAATCTTTCATAAATCTGTTCTAAACACAACCAATACCTTACGTTTAATCCTTGTCTACATGGTTGTGTTTTTTTTTTAATGGAAGAGAGCCCAGGTTGCCTCAGCCAGGTGTACTGGGACTACAACTCCCAACTGCAATGGCCAGGGCCGGTGGGAGTTGTAGTTCGAAAACTCTGGTGCAGAACACCAGGTTTGGGGAAGGAGCAAGCTGGGAAACAAAGAGTCTCTTTGTGGGGATAAACATGTTTTCATAACCAAAAGTCTCATGATCTGCCCTGTTCTTGACCCTCCTTTTTCTCTCTTTCCACACTCTGTGATTTGTTTGCATGGAGCTTATGCAACAGCAGATGTTTATCAAGCATCTATTCCAATGTGAGGCGAATAGATGGCGCCGGGCCAATCAGTCGTCCCATATTCTCAGAGCATTTCCTCATCCCTTCTCTGAATCCAAAAAAAAGTCAAGTTTCATTTTCAGGGCTCTGTCCTCTCCCCCATGCTTTTCAACATTTACATGCAGCCACTGGGAGAGATCATCAGGGGGTTTGGGCTGGGTGTTCATCAGTATGCGGATGACACCCAGCTCTCCCTCTCTTTCAAATCAGAACCAGTGAAGGCAGTGAAGGTCCTGTGTGAGTGCCTGGAGGCAGTTGGAGGTTGGATGGCGGCTAACAGATTGAGGTTGAATCCTGACAAGACAGAAGTACTGTTTTGGGGGGACAGGAGGCGGGAAGGTGTGGAGGTCCTGAATGGGGTCACTATGCCCCTAAAGGACCAGGTGCGCAGCCTGGGAGTCATTTTGGACTCACAGCTGTCCATGGAGGCGCAGGTCAAGTCTGTGCCCAGGGCAGCTGTCTACCAGCTCCATCTGGTAAGCAGGATGAGACCCTCCCTGCCCACAGACTGTCTCACCAGAATGATGCATGCTCTAGTTATCTCTCGCTTGGACTACTGCAATGCGCTCTGTGTGGGGCTACCTTTGAAGGTGACCCGGAAACTACAACTAATCCAGAATGCGGCAGCTAGACTGGTGACTGGGAGCGGCCGCTGAGACCATATAAGACCGGTCTTGAAAGACCTACACTGGCTCCCAGTACGTTTCCAAGCACAATTCAAAGTGTTGGTGCTGACCTTTAAAGCCCTAAATGGCCTCGGTCCAGTAGACCTGAAGGAGCGTCTCCACCCCCATCGTTCTGCCCGGACACCAGGGTCCATCTCCCGAGGGCCTTCTGGCGGTTCCCTCACTGCGAGAGGCCAAGTTACAGGGAACCAGGCAGAGGGCCTTCTCGGTAGTGGCCCCCGCCCTGTGGAACGCCCTCCCACCAGATGTCAAAGAGAAAAATAACTACCAAACTTTTAGAAGACATCTGAAGGCAGCCCTGTTTAGGGAAGCTTTTAATGTTTAATAGGTTATTGTATTTTAGTGTTTTGTTGGAAGCCGCCCAGAGTGACTGGGGAAACCCTGACAGATGGGTGGGGTATAAATAAATTATTATTATTATTATTATTACACCCAAAAATCTAACCCATGGCCACCACTTCCTCTGGTCTTCTGCAATCACCAGACCCTGATGCCTGCTCCTTCTCTCCCCTGCTTTGTCTTTGCAGATGAGCAAAAAATATGGGCCGATCTTCACTGTGTATTTTGGCTCAGACCAGGCTGTGGTTCTCTTTGGTTATGACTTGGTGAAGAAGGTCCTCGTTGATCGTGGAGATGAGTTTCTCGACCGAGGCAGCATGCCGTCAGCAGATAAGACCAACAGAGGACTAGGTATTGCATCTCTTACAGGAGGGGGCACCGTTAGCCTGGGTGGAAAAGTGGAAAGGGTCTCTAGGCCAAGGGTGGGGGGGATCTCAGCCCTGAGGGCTGGATGTGGCCCTCCAGAGCTTTCTGTCTGGCCCTCGAAATGTTCCCCAGGCCACACGCCTCATCTCCGCAGGCCCCACATCTCACCGGACCAGTTTCAACAGTTTTTGCTTGCTTTTTATAAATCATATAAATAAATGGATGCTTTTGAATTCTGGTGCTGGAGGAGAGTCTTGAGAGTACCATGGACTGCAAGAAGATCAAACCTATCCATTCTGAAGGAAATCAGCCCTGAGTGCTCACTGGAAGGACAGATCCTGAAGCTGAGGCTCCAAGACTTTGGCCACCTCATGAGAAGAGAAGACTCCCTGGAGAAGACCCTGATGCTGGGAAAGATGGAGGGCACAAGGAGAAGGGGACGACAGAGGACGAGATGGTTGGATAGTGTTCTGGAAGCTACCAGCATGAGTTTGACCAAACTGCGGGAAGCAGTGGAAGACAGGAGAGCCTGGCGTGCTCTGGTCCAGGGGTCACGAAGAGTCGGACACGACTAAACGACTAAAGACAGAGAAGATTAGCATGGCCCCCACCCCCAGTGCAACTCTCAACAGTCCCAGCAAGCTGGGCTGGGTGATGTGTGGGCTGATGTGACCATAGCTGGGCTGGTGGGGAGAGCAGCCTGACACATCTTGTGGGACCAAGGCTGACCTGACTCATGGGTCCTGTTCCAAGCATGGTGCCGGCGGCTTCAGGGGCTCCAGTCCCTGCCCTCTCTTGCTAGCACACCCGATTGCATCGGCGGAACACAACAACTTGGGGTGATCTCCTCAAAAAAAGCTCAAAAGTTTGGGATGATCTCCTAATGTCAGGTTTCAGGGAACTAGCTTCCGACCCCCTGTGGCAGTAGATAAGCAGAACAAAGGAAAAGGTGTCTTCTTACCAGTTAAATAATCACAGCGAGAGAAGAACCTATCTCCTAGAAATGGCGGTGCTCCCAAATAAGGTTTGCACCCCCTGCTGTCCCTATTAATCTATGTCACTTCTACGTCTCGTCATCTGACCTTGTACCCTCTGTGCTTTCTGTTCTGCCACTTTCTGAACTCTTCTCAACTTTGGTGAGGGCAGTGGAGGAAGGCTGTCTAGAGACTGTGGATCTGTTAACCCTCTCCTTTCCAGTGTCTCTTCTCCTTTTTCTTAAAATAATTTTTATTGAGTTTTCCACTTAAATCATATTCACATTTTGTTACATAATTCTATGACTTAATATATTGCTATGTAAGAGCATTGACCTCCTTCCCTTCCTCTTTCTGACTTCCACATAACTTTCCATATTCTTCGCATTTCTACAAGCACTTATTTAAAGGTAAAGGTAAAGGGACCCCTGACCATTAGGTCCAGTCGTGGCCGACTCTGGGGTTGCGGCGCTCATCTCGCTTTACTGGCTGAGGGAGTCGGCGTACAGCTTCCGGGTCATGTGGCCAGCATGACTAAGCCGCTTCTGGCGAACCAGAGCAGCGCACGGAAACGCCGTTTACCTTCCCGCTGGAGTGGTACCTATTTATCTACTTGCACTTTGACATGCTTTCAAACTGCTAGGTTGGCAGGAGCTGGAACTGAGCAATGGCAGCTCACCCCGTTGCGGGGATTCGAACCGCCGACCTTCTGATCGGCAAGTCCTAAGCTCTGTGGTTTAACCCACAGCGCCACCTGCGTCCCAAGCACTTATTTACCCTTTGTCAAATTATATTTCACCTTATTATTGGTAAATCAGTTCCTTTTATTTACATTACAAAACATTTCAATTCAAGCCTACAAATGTTTTCAAACGTTTACAATTTTCTTTCATATCAAATATAAATTTGCTCCAGTCCTTTTGAAACAGTTTGTCACACTGATTCCGGATCTTCCCCGTCAACTTGGCCAACTCTACGTACTCCATCATCTTGACCTGCCAATCTTCCAGTGTTGGAAGTTCCTGCTGCTTCCATTTCTGAGCCAGAAGTGCCAGTGTCTCTTCTCCTAGCTGTTCCCCATCCAGTATTTCCCAGCTTCTACCTTCTGAACTATGCCCCTCTGCAAACCGCTGTTCCAAATCTATACTGTCCTCCTGCTCCTGGGAAGAGGAGTAGGAGCAGGGGGAGGGGCCCATCATGACTCCTCAGTGCAGCCCCCCCCCCTCAGCACGGTCCCTGATGCCCAAGCTCAACAACTTCTGTTGCCCCAGGAGTCAGCAAGGGTTCTGCGGCTTGACTTTTGAAAAATAAGGGGTCCTCAGTAATCAGCTAATTGGGAACCACTGGCATAGACTGTCGGAACTTGCGTTCGACCGAGTCCTCGAGTCCTCCGACGGTGATTAACGACCTGAGCCTTTGATGAGGCTCCAGGTACATTCCCTCATTATGCAGAGTGTACAGAAGAGGACGAGAAATATGAGCTACATTGCTAAGAGTTTTATTTCTAACTACGCAGACAGAAAAGAAATATACATCCTCTCTCTGTGAAGGCAGAGAGGCAACTGGTACAAAGAAACAGGAAACCAGTAATAACAACATCCGTCTCCCGTGAGACTTCCAGCAGTCTGGAATCTCTGGAATGTAAACAGAGTCTTGCGACTCCAAGCACTGCACAATGGCACAAACAGAAACCTAACATAGACTACAGGGTGGCTCTAGACACAGGACAAAAACTCTATGAATAAATCATAAATTAGATTGTTATAGCAAAAGAAAGAAATCCCTATGGGAAAGAGCGTTTTAAAATGTCCTGCTCTCTGGCGCCATCTGGTGTTGCGTGTTTATACTGCATTTGATTCACCTTTTCTTTACTAATGTAGCCGAGTCCAATGTTTCTTCTGCAGGGATCATCATGTCCAATGGCGAGCGCTGGCTCCAGCTCCGCCGCTTCTCCCTCACCACCATGAGGAACTTTGGGATGGGGAAGAAGAACATTGAGGAGAGGATCCAGGAAGAGGCAGAGTACCTGATGAAGGAGCTCAGGGCCAAAAACGGTGAGTACGTGTGTAGGATGTGAAACACAAGAGCAGTCAAGTACAACATTCCTAGAGTGAACATGTTTGCACATGGGGAGGGATGTTTGTCCAGCCAGCAGGTAAACTTCCTGTTTCCTTCTGGGCTGGGACAGACTTCCTCTGCATGTGACTACAGGTGGGCGTGGCCTCACCTGTGCAGGTAACAACAAAAGCACAGGGCAGGGCAGCCATCTCTCTCTCTTTGACTACATGCATTGAAGAAGCAACATCTGCTTAGCCAAAGATGCTCTCTTGGCCTCCAGCCAAGAGAGGACAAAGGGACTGTCTCCTTATGAGATAGTTTCCAGGTGTATGCTACTTCATTAAGCTAAGTCTGCCTTCTGGGATCTGATTGTGAACAGAATGTGAGTAAATTCTTTTTATACTTTTGTAGAAGACTGTGTCGTGTCTTATCCTTTATGAAGGAATAAGGGGGAAATATGGGATGCGGGTGGCGCTGTGGGTAAAACCTCAGCGCCTAGGACTTGCCGATCGCTTGGTCGGCGGTTCGAATCCCCACGGCGGGGTGCGCTCCCGTCGTTCGGTCCCAGCGCCTGCCAACCTAGCAGTTCGAAAGCACCCCCGGGTGCAAGTAGATAAATAGGGGCCGCTTATTAGCGGGAAGGTAAACGGCGTTCCGTGTGCTGCGCTGGCTCACCAGATGCAGCTTGTCACGCTGGCCATGTGACCCAGAAGTGTCTGCAGACAGCGCTGGCTCCCGGCCTCTAGAGTGAGATGAGCACACAACCCTAGAGTCTGTCAAGACTGGCCCGTATGGGCAGGGGTACCTTTACTTTTACCTTACCAGAACAGCTATTATAGAGGCTTTAGCGAGCCTGAGCAAACGCAGCCGCTGCAAATTTAAAAGAAGGGAATGCTACTCTGCTGAAATTGTGGAGCTTGTTAAGTTGGATAAGGATATAATCAGACAATATATCCTCTCCTGCATCCCTGAACATTCCCACAACGTGCAAATAGGTTGCCCTTTGAAATCTCCAAGGGATGCATTTTTTAATATATAAAAATCTAGACTAAGTAATACTGTGTTGAGGGGGGGAACTCTGCTTCTTCCTCTTGTTTCTTGTAGTAAAGATCACCTGCCCGTTCACTGTTACAATTACAGGTAACTCACATCTTATTTCACATATGCAACCACAGCTTTGTGTGAGCAGGAAATAAATAAATGGGGAGCAAACGAAACCCACTTTCTATTTCCCTCCTGTGCAAAGCTGTGATCAAGCTTTGGTGTGAGGGCTCTGGTAAGAGCAGGCATAGGCAAACTCCGGCCCTTCAGATGTTTGGGACTACAATTCCCATCATCCCTGGCCACTGGTCCTGTTAGATAGGGATGGTGGGAATTGTAGTCCCAAACACCTGGAGGGCTGGAGTTTGCCTATGCCTGCCCTAGAGCTTTTCTTAGCCTGCTGGATAAAGAATCAGGGAACAGCAACCTGGGAAGTAAGTTTAAATGCATACTTTACTTACTATCTTGTAATGGTTCACAGCAACAGTAGCAGTAAAAACTATGAAGGCAAAATACTTATGTAGTGAAGTTAGGAAATCTTTGTAGGTTAAACTTTGGTTCATGTAGGCGTGAGGCATTGTGGGAGAGTTAAAACTGTGGATTTCTGGGAAATGGAGGTCTGGTCTCTTTAACTGTAGACTCCCTGTCTTTGGAGGTGTGAATCAAGTTGCCTCCTCTCTCTGGGCAGGAAGGAGATGTTATCTGAGTTGTAAATTCTGGCAGCTGGGAGGCTCTGATGTGGTTTGGTGTGAAAAGGCTACCAGGCAATTTGCAACTCAAAGAGCCTGGTACTAGTCTGGGAACAAAAGGAGAGTCTTTGATCCCAAGGTCTCTGAGACCAAACAGAGTTCAGCTGTCCTAGTCTCCTGACAATCAGGAGTTATTGTCTCCGCATACACCCATTGGCAAATTGGTAATTAACCTGAAAAACTGATTGGTCCCTAAACCCCTTCTCCACGTGGGATTCTCAAGAATAAAGGTTTGGCGAATTGAGATGCAAATTGCAGACCACCTTTCCCTGGTGCTTGCGCTTGACCAGCAAATAAATCTTAATGACTTGTTGTGGTTTTGAACTGTTACTTTGACACCATCCCTCCTGACTCCGATTCCTTTGCCAGGCCAGCCCTTCAACCCAGCCGTCCTGTTCAGCTGCGCAACGGGCAACGTGGTCAGCCACATCCTCCTCGGAGAACGGTTCGATTACAATGACCCGGAGTACCGCCGAATTCTCAGCTTACTGGTCGAAAGCTTCCGGTTGGAGAGTTCCACTGCAGGGCAGGTGAGGAGGACCCTGGGTAGCAGAGGAAGGAGCATCTCCACCCCCATCATCCAGCCCGGACACTGAGGTCCAGCTCCGAGGGCCTTCTGGCGCTTCCCTCCCTGCAAGAAGTGAGGTTACAGGGAACCAGGCAGAGGGCCTTCTTGGTGGTGGCGCCCACCCTGTGGAATGCCGTTCCGTCAGATGTCAAGGAAATAAACAGCTATCTGACTTTTAGATGACATCTGAAGGCAGCCCTGTTTTAGGAAGTTTTTAATATTTGATGTTTTATTCTGTTTTTAATTTGTTGGGAGCTGCCCAGAGTGGCTGGGGAAACTTACCTTGGTCTAAGAACGGAAGCCGAAGAGTGGAAGGGCATCGGCAGCGGGAGGCCTCATTAGTGAAAGCGCGCCTCAGTTTAAGAACGTTTAGAATAATAATAATAATAATAATAATAATAATAATAATTAATAAATTAATAATAAATTTTATTTATACCCCGCCCTCTCCGGCCAGTGCCAGGCTCAGGGCGGCTAACACCAGTAAAATTACAGTAAAAACATAATAGGGGGAAAAAACCCAATTTAAAATACAGATTAAAATGCAAGACACCTGAATGCAGCCCTGTTTAGGGAAGTTTTTAATGCTGGATGTTTTATCGTGTTTTAAATATTCTGTTGGGAGCCGCTCAGAGTGGCTGGGGAAACCCAGTCAGATGGGCTGGGTATAAATTATTATTATTATTATTATTATTATTATTATTATTAATGGGAAGCGAGCCCCCTGCCACTGCCGCTCCCCTGCACTGACAAAGCCTTGCTTACTGGAACTGCGAGGGATCCACAAGATCTCTCCAGAACCCGGAAGCTGCAGCCACTGCTCCTTGATTCTCCGGTGGCGGTGAGGAGTGCGTGAGGAGTGAGAAGAGGCGGCGGCAGCAGCAAGATCTTGAACGAGCTCTGTGAGTTTTCGTGAGGTCTCCATCTGCCTCCTGGGCCAGCAAACCCTGCTGGAAAACAGGACTGGAAATCAAGCTCTTCTTTAAAAAATAATAATAATATTTAATCATTTTTTCAATACAAACAACAACTGCAAAACACACGTACAGCAAAAACCATAACAACACAATTTGACATTTCGGATTTGAATACACTGATACACCTATGACTACACCTTTTTAACAATATTTCCCCACCTCTCTCTCCTCCCCCCACTTCCCCCCACTATCCGCCTTATCGCTTAGATATTCCTTCCAGATTTCTTTGTATTTATCCATTCTTAATTTGCGTCGACATGCAATTTGTTCGTATGTAGCTAATCTGTCCATATTATCAATCCATGTGCTCAATGGAATCTTTCTGCAGCTCTTCCAATTCATCAAAACAAGGGGTTTTTTTTGCTTCTAATATAGCACAGTACATCCATTATTATTTTTTACTTGAGATCAAGCTTGCTAGATTCAGGAGCCAGCTGCAAATGATAGCATAGACACTCTGCAGGGTCTGCTCTCCTGAGCTCTCCTCTCCCAATTAACCTCCGTCTCCAGGACCCAGCCCTGTGACATCACAAGGTCCTGGGTCTCAGGTTTGGACCCTGGAATCTCAGGGTCTGGGATGCTTCTGAGCTGTGTCACATGTCAGTTTCTGACAGTGCAATTTATTTTAGTTTGCTGAAGAGATTCCAACTCACCAAGGCTGATTCACCACTATGTCTGTACGAGTGTTTTTTTCTCCTCTCTCTCTCTCCTCTTAGCTCTACAACATCTTCCCCAGGATCCTAGACTACTTGCCTGGTCCTCATCAAACTTTCTTTAAAAACCTCGGGGACATCCAGGTCTTCATAGCCCAGAAGGTGAAAGATCACGAGAGAAGTCTGGATCCCAATGCTCCCCGGGACTTCATAGACTCCTTCCTCCTCAAAATGGAACAGGTGAGATATGGAGGAGTGGATTTATGTGTCTGAAATTAAAGGTAAAGGGACCCCTGACCGTTAGGTCCAGTCACGGACGACTCTGGGGTTGCGGCGCTCATCTCGCTTTATTAGCCGAGGGAGCCGGCGTTTGTCCGCAGACAGCTTCTGGGTCATGTGGCCAGCATGACTAAGCCGCTTCCGGCGAACCAGAGCAGCGCACAGAAACACCATTTACCTTCCCGCCGGAGCGGTACCTATTTATCTACTTGCACTTTGACGTCCTTTCAAACTGCTAGGTGGGCAGGAGCAGGGACCGAACAACGGGAGCTCACCCCATCACGGGGATTCGAACCGCCGACCTTCTGATCGGCAAGCCCTAGGCTCTGTGGTTTAGACCACAGCACCACCCGCGTCCCTATGTCTGAAATTAAAGGTAAAGGGACCCCTGACCATTAGGTCCAGTTGTGGCCGACTCTGGGATTGCGGTGCTCATCTCGCTGGCCGAGGGAGCCAGCGTACAGCTTCCGGGTCATGTGGCCAGCATGACTATGCCACTTCTGGCGAACCAGAGCAGCGCACGGAAATGCCGTTTACCTTCCCGCTGGAGCGGTACCTATTTATCTACTTGCACTTTGACGTGCTTTCGAATTGCTAGGTTGGCAGGAGCAGGGACCGAGCAACGGGAGCTCACCCCGTTGCAGGGATTCGAGCCGCCAACCTTCTGATCGGCAAGCCCTAGGCTCTGTGGTTTAGACCACAGCGCCACCTGCGTCCCTATGTCTGAAATTAGGCACCTGCTAAAAACAATTTTGTTTAGATAAGCCTACCCAGATATGTAGAATGATGAATCATAGAAACATAGAGTTGGAATAGACCACAAGGGCCATCGAGTCCAACCCCCTGCCAAGCAGGAAACACCATCAGAGCACTCCTGACATATGCTTGTCAAGCCTCTGCTTAAAGACCTCCAAAGAAGGAGACTCCACCACACTCCTTGGCAGCAAATTCCACTGTCAAACAGCTCTTACTGATGATATGTGCTTTAATCCGGTTTTGCTTCTCATCGATTTGATTTTTAAAAAATGTTTTAAATAGCTAATTTAACTGGCTTTCCTGATAATGTGATTGTTTTGTTCTTTTTGTAAACTGTGCTGTGGGTTTTTGTTTTTTACAAAAGCGGTGTATAGATTAAAAAACAGTAGGATGCTGATTAAGTCTTGGTGAAACATCATATCAGGCTCCTGGTATAGAGGATGATCTCTTCTGTGTTTTTTCCCCATTACCAGGAGCAGCAGAACCCCAAGACTGAATTCACTAGAGAGAACTTGAACATGGCAGCTTATGACATATTCATCGCTGGGACAGAAACAACAAGCACCACCCTCAGATATATCCTCATGACCCTGCTTGAGCACCCAGCCGTGCAAGGTTGACTAACCACTGAACTAACTGTGCTTGCACTTGTCCTTGCAGCTTGGGTGAATTAGAGCTGAACAATCATTTACAATTTATGTAGTTCAAAGGCTTTATTCAGGCAGGAACTATTTACAGGATGAGTGGAGATGAGTGAGAAAACTGCACTCGCAGAGCTCAGGCGATGCTGGATTTCATGAGTAGTTTGGCCATACTCTCCTGAGGGGAAACATTCTAGGGTGACCTTGCTAGGTTTCAGAACCGGGTAGCAAGAATTGGCTTTCTTTTTCCCCTTGCATCTGCTGTGATGTGACCTGGACGTTCTGCCTTTTGTGTCCACTTCCAGAAAAGATCCAAAAGGAAATAGACCAAGTGATAGGACAGGAGAGGCCACCTGCCATGAAGGATCGCCTTGAGATGCCTTACACAGAAGCCGTCCTCCACGAAGCCCAGCGATTCTTGGATCTTGTCCCCTTAGGGTTCACCCGTGTGGCGAAACATGACACCGAAATCGAAGGCTATTTCATCCCCAAGGTACCTGGAACGGCATCAGAGTCTGCTGACAGCTTCAGAGCAGTGGCAGGCAACAAACAGGCAGAGGTTGATGGGCACATGGGACCGGCCCTACCATTGTACAGTATAGAGAGAGGCAGTTGCTTCAAGTTGCTTAATTTTGGGTGTCAGGAAAGGGGAAGAAAGGGGTGGTGATCAAGATCATGATATTATCAGGAAGGTCAGCCTGTGGAATTGTCTGTCTCAGGTGGCAAATAATTCCGCCTGCTTTAGGTACTATGGGTCTTGACGTGGGTTGGGGAGCACCATTTATTGTCCTGCCTCAGGCAGCAAAATGTGTTGGCTTGCCATTGCTGTGATGTGTTATTGCACCGAGTTTTTCAGCTGACCTTGGAAAAACAACCATTGCCCTATACTTGTTACCAACAGTTCAAATCAATCCTCATCTGCTCAACATATGAAGTGGCAGGCTATGCGCTGTGTGCTGGTTGATGTTCATGAACATGTCTTGACATGCGCATGTGCTAGAGACAAGGTCAATCCCCCCCACCCTAATTAGAGCTTTTGCTTTTAGGACAAGGATGGGGAAATGTCTTACACCCAATGGCCATGTTGCTTCGTGGACAGACTTTTTTGGGGGGGGCACGTCAAGTGAAGGACAGGCCCAGATGGAGAAGTGGGCCGAGCAATGAATGACTCTTAATTTTGTCTAAAAAAACGGTAAAGGTAAAGGACCCCTGACAGTTAAGTCCAGTCGCGAACGACTGGGGTTGTGGCGCTCATCTTGCTTAACTGGCCAAGGGAGCCTGCATTTGTCTGCAGACAGTTCTTCCGGGTCATGTGGCCAGCATGACTAAGCCACTTCTGGCAAAACCAGAGCGGCGCACGGAAACGCCGTTTACCTTCCCGCCGGAGTGGTACCTATTTATCTACTTGCACTTTGACGTGCTTTTGAACTGCTAGGTTGGCAGGAGCTGGGACCGAGCAACAGGAGCTCACCACGTTGCGGGGATTTGAACCGCCGACCTTCTGATCGGCAAGCCCTAGGCTCTGTGGTTTAGACCACAGCACCACCCATGTCCCTGAATTTTGTCTAGTTAGCTGCGTTTCAACCACGTGAAACTGAAGAGGGTTCTGTGCACAAGTCTCTCTCCATGCAGATAGTCAGGGGATCTTGTCACAGCTCAAGGACATATTCCAGGTGGGCAAAAGCACTCGGGGCAGGTGTGGAGCAGGGCTGGAGATAGTACCAAGGGCTGGAGAGAGACCCCTGAATGGCCGCATTTGGTCCCTGCCCCAAGCTTGCCCAACCCTGTCTTAATGCAAGACAGAGGCGCCAGTTTCTCCGGAGAATTGAGGGGTCCGGACGCAACGTCACAATGTCCTGATGTCATGCGCAGAGCCTTCTGAACATTGGGGGGGCCTGACCCCCCCCACAAAAGGATCGGGGGGCAAATTGCCTTGCCCCCCCCAAAGAGCCTCACCCTTAGGGCCAGGCTACATTTACCTGTTCAGGTCCCTTTGCACAAAATTTGCAACAATTACACTGGTGGCTTTTCAACCGAATTCACTGTGCTGGTTTCAACCCTTCAGGCCTTTAAGGGTTTACTGTCTGTATTAAGATTTTATTAGCTTTTCATAACTTTAACCAACTCATTCCAGATTTCAAATTTGTTACCCGTTTCTCTTATGATTTGACTTCCCACCTCCCTTTCTGTGCCCTTTCACTTCCTGCATAATATCAGACATTTCACCTAATACATATTCCTCTGTTATATCACCTATTTCATCTGATACATCTCCCCCTGTTTCATATATTATCGTTTTATTCCCATTGCTCACATTTCAAATCCTGCCCACGATTTCATTTGGTTATGTTTCCCCCCTCCAAATAATCCCAAAAAAGGCTTCCACTCGCTCGTAAATTGCCCATGGTATTGATTTCTTATGTTCGCCGTTAACTTTGCCAGTTCCGAATAGTTCGTTAGAGAGGAATTGTTTTCTGGACCACCTCTGCTGCCTTCATCCTGGAAGAGAACCACAACGAGCTCTTCCAAAGTAGGGCTTCATGTATTTTGCCTTCTTGGCTTCCCCTAACAGGGTTCCTCCGTCTTCCCCATCCTGAGTTCTGCACTGCACGACCCCAAACAATACGACAACCCCTTCCAGTTCACCCCAGAACATTTCCTGGATGAAAAAGGGAATTTCAAGAAGAACGGAGCCGACATTCCCTTTTCCACAGGTGGGGATCTCTACCTTTTCCTTTCCCACAAAAAGCAGTGGGACAGACTCGATCGGGGCTGGGAGCATAGCTGTCAAGCGTCCCTTATTTGGCGGGACAGTCCCTTATCCCAGCGCCATGTCCCGCTGCTGTCCCTTATTGATGATGTCCCTTAAATAAGCTACTGAAGGTAATGGGGCCCTTTCTATGTCCAGCTGTCCTTTGTCAACAACAAATTGTTGCTTTTTTTGTGTTGATTATGTGCTATATGGTAATTTATGGACCTAATAGGTATCTAAAGCCATTTGCATGCAACAAAATATGTATTTTATCAAAGTAATTGTTGATCCCTTATTTTGGCTGCTGATCCCTTATTTCTGAGGCTGCTGGTCCCTTATTTTCAAATCTGTAAGTTGACAGCTATGGCTGGGAGACCATTTGCTTCACAAAGGGTCACAACTTCTTGTGGGGTCACATGTCAGCAGGGCCAGGGGGGAGAGTCAATTTTACCTCTCTATCTTCTTTTTTAAAAAATTAATTTTTGCATATGTTTTCCAAACAAAGCTTCACATCACATCGCATCATCTTCATTTGGGCTATTATAGCCCGAGACTTCCATCAATCCTGTCTAGTGATTTTCAATTTTGCTATCTAATCTTGCATTTTATTATTATAATGAATGCTTTTAAACTTCATTTCCTGATTATTTCCTTCCTAAATCATTTTGCAATCATTTATATAGCCCCCCTTACAAAACTTCTTGTAAACCTACAAGCAATGTTACATTGATGCAATTGTCTTTCAAATAAGTCATATATTTCTTCCAATCCTTAAGGAAGTCCTGGTCTTTCTGGTTCCAAATTCTCCCAGTCAACTTTGCCAGTTCTGCATACGCCATCATTTTTATTTGCCAATCCTCCTTCGTTGGTAATTCTTCCTGTTTCCATCGCTGGGCTAGTAATACTCTCGCTGCTATAGTTGCATAGATTTTTGTCCTGTCTATTAATTTCTGTACCTACAATGCCAAGTAAAAATGCTTCTGGTTTTTTCGCAAATGTATACTTCAACATTTTCTTCATCTCATTATATATCATTTCCCAGAAGCATTTTACTTTCTTACAATACCCCACCACGGAGGTATTCCTCTTTCTGGTTTTTTTACACAAATTATTCTCTGCATGTTATAAAAAAATGTAAAAATCCCTAAATTATCCATCTATTATATTAACAAATAAATTTGTGTATGTTTATTCAAAACCTGCCAAGGAGTCCAGTTCGTTTTGTTGTTTCTTTAAGTACTTTGTAAAAGGTTCCCATTCTTCTTTAAAGTCACAGTTGTCCTCGTCACGCACTTTGTACGTCAATTTTGCCAGTTCCGTATAGTCCATCAGTTTCTCTTGCCACTGTTCTTTTCTCGGGGTTTCTTCATTCTTCCTTCCTTGTGCTATTAAGACTCTTGCCGCCGTTGTCACGTACATAAATATGTTCTTCATCTTCCTTCCTTTTCCTACAATCCCTAACAAAAATGTTTCTGGCTCTTTTTTTTTTTGCAAATGTTAATTTAAACATTTTCTTCAACTCGTTATATATCATTTCCCCATATTTTTTAATTTCTCTGCAATCCCACCACATATGGTAGAAAGTCCCTTCTTTTTCCTTACATTTCAAACATATATTTGAGCTGGTTTTATACAATAACTGGTGTTATATGCCTTCTATACATCATTTTCCTGTAGTTTTCTTTCAGTAGAGAATATTCCTCCGTGAATACAGTGGTGCCCCGCAAGACGAATGCCTCGCAAGACGGAAAACTCACTAGACGAAAGAGTTTTCCGTTTTGGAGGTGCTTCGCAAAACGAATTTCCTATGGGCTTGCTTCGCAAGACGACAATGTCTTGCGAGTTCCTGCGGGGGTTTTTTCCTCCCCCCCCTTTTTCTAAGCCGCTAAGCCACTTATCAGCTGATCCGATAAGCCGCTAAAAGCCGCTAAAAGCGCTAATCCGCTAATCCGTCAATGGGCTTGCTTCGCAAGATGAAAAAACCGCTAGACGAAGAGAATCACAGAACGGATTCTTTTCGTCTTGCGAGGCACCACTGTATCCCTAATCTTTTAAAAAAAGCTGGCTAGATTTGGGAAGTACGTGGACTGCAGCTTCTCCTTTCTTCCTCCCGCAGGGAAGAGAATCTGTCTGGGTGAAGGATTGGCCCGGATGCAGCTCTTCCTGTATCTCGCCACTATTCTGCAACGTTTTCATCTCAGGCACCCTCCGGGAGTCACCAAAATTGACCTCACCCCAGAGGTCAGTGGATTTGGGAACATCCCGCGCCAAGTCTCCATCTGTTTTACTCCACGCTAAGCGGCACCCTCCACTCTGGTGGTCCTCTTTGCCTGCTCACAAGGGTTTCCGGCTTCCGTGAGGATCAAGTAATTAATTAATTGATTGATTAACCGTTACTATAGGAGTGAAATTGGGTGAGATGCTTTTAGGGTGCCATTTTGGGGGAGACGATCTCACTTTTATTATTTAAATTTGTTTTATTAAGTTTGCTTGACCACATTACATTGTTATACAGTGGTAACTCAGGTTAAGCATTTAATTCATTCTGGAGGTCCGTACTTAACCTGAAACTTTTCTTAACCTGAAGCACCACTTTAGCTAATGGGGCCTCCTGCTGCCGCCGCGCTGCCGGAGCACGATTTCTGTTCTCATCCTGAAGCAAAGTTCTTAACCTGAAGCACTATTTCTGGGTTAGCGGAGTCTGTAACCTGAAGCGTATGTAACCTGAAGCGCATGTAACCCGAGGTACCACTGTACAGTGGTACCTCGGGTTACAGACGCTTCAGGTTACAGACTCCGCTAACCCAGAAATAGTACCTCAGGTTAAGAACTTTGCTTCAGGATGAGAACAGAAATCGCGTGGCGGCAGTGGGAGGCCCCATTAGCTAAAGTGGTGCTTCAGGTTAAGAACAGTTTCAGGTTAAGAACGGACCTCCCGAACGAATTAAGTACTTAACCCGAGGTACCCGAGGTACTTTTGCTTTAGTTTTATCTAGCATATATACAGAAATCATTCAAACACTGTCATAGACACCACACCGCTATTGTATTTCATTAAATATTTCTTAATCACATCCAAATTTTGAATAAAGTTTTGATTTATATTGCCTCTCAGCCTATTTGTCATTTGAGCCGTCTCGGCAAATTCTACCAATTTATTCTGCCATTCTGTTTTAGTAGAAACCCTCTCCCCTTCCAGTTCTGTGCAACCAAGATTCTTGCGGCCGCAGTTGCATACAAAAAACATTCTTTTGCATTTTTTGGTAACTCTCTACCTACGATTCCAAGTAGGAAGGCCTCAGGTTTTTTGGAGAAAGTTATCCTTATATTTTTTTTCAGTTCATTGTATATAACATTCCAGAACTCTTTAATATTGGGGCATGACCACCACATATGAATCAGGTTTCCTTCAGAGAACACACACCGCCAGCATTTGTTCGAGATATTTTTATACATCTTAGATAGCTTTGATGGCGTCAAATACAAAAAATTGACAATCTCATTTTGATTGCGTGCAAAAGAAGCCAGATGATTTGCTTCCTCTGACTCACACTTGTGTGCATGAAAGGGTTAACCTGAGCTCTGAAGTCAAGTTGCCACTATGGGTAGAGCAGGCTCCCAGAAGCCTTTGCTTCCCCGCCTCCCACTTTCTCTCTCTCTCTGCAGCTTTCCTCAAAGAAGGAGCCATGCAACTTGGCTCCCAGCTCAGCAAATGAAGAATCTCTCTGAAAGGAGATTTCTACAGCCTGCATCTTTGTGAATGGAAAGACTGTGCGATTCTTTTGTAGGATAACCAAGTTCTTTCTTTTTAGGTCAGTTGAAAAAATTTCTCCTTTATTTTACTGGCAGCAGATGGAGTCTTGTTTATTGTAAATTTCAGAAACTCTGTGAGTAAAGATCTAAACTAAGTATCTGTGATTTATTCTAGCCTAAGTCTTTTCATGGGGAACGTTTCTTTAAAGGTGGATGAGGCTAGTTGTAAAATCTAACCATGTTTAAATGTGCTTGGAGCAATTGCCATTGTGCTAACTCTGCTGTGAGCTGTGCGGATGGAAGGAACTGTCAATTTCAGCTTTCTCAGCATCTCATTTTTCCAATCTTAAATTCAATTCTCCGCACAGTTCTCTCCAGAGAGCAAGCCGAAAGGGTCTTCAGGTTTTATCATGACTGTACCACTCTGTACTATATTTGCACTAGGTTGCTGTCATGTCAGAGGCCAAGAACAGCGCCCTCTACCTGCCCTTTAGCACATTGTACCTCCACAATTAAGGGACGCAGGTGGTGCTGTGCACTAAGCCACAGAGCCTAGGGCTTGCCGATCAGAAGGTCGGCGGTTCAAATCCCTGTGACGGGGTGAGCTCCCGTTGCTTGGTCCCTGCTCCTGCCAACCTAGCAGTTTGAAAGCACGTCAAAGTGCAAGTAGATAAATAGGTACTGCTCTGGCGGGAAGGTAAATGGTGTTTCTGTGTGCTGCTCTGGTTTGCCAGAAGCGGCTTAGTCATGCTGGCCACATGATCCGGAAGCTGTATGCCGGCTCCCTCACCCAATAAAGCGAGATGAGTGCCGCAACCCCAGAGTCATCCACGATTGGACCTAATAGTCAGGGGTCCCTTTATCTTTACCTTTATCTCCACAATTGTTTAAAAAAACAAGCAAATATGCTCAGGCCAACATCTGGTTTGCTCATGTATCATCTGGACCTGCCTCGCATCAAAGTCTGTACAGTACAGTTAACAAACACTTGGTTTTGGAGCAAAGAAGGTTTTTATTTTTATTTTTGCAGGGCATTTTATCATTATACACTGCAGCCTTGTGGAAGTTATCTGGGCTGGAAGAAGTGAAAGAGAAACAGTGTAAAAAGCAAAGCGGAACTTCTAGATCCCTTTAACGTGAGGCTGGTGCAGAAAGCACCTTTGGACGGGGATCATTTAAACTTCCTTTTCTTCTGGAGTTCTCTATCCAAACCGAAGCGCTGCTAAGGCAATCCTCACGCCGTGTCTCTTCACAAATCTTTTGGTTCCCCTCCAGAACCTTCTCCAGCGTCCCCTTGTTATACGACTCAGCTAAGAGATAAGAGAGAAAACAGTGAGTACAAACAGTGAGTGTGCATTTGCAATACTCATTTATTACTACACAAAGCCGATACAGTGGCACCTTGGTCCTCAAACTTAATCCGTTCCAAAACCAAAGCGTTCCAAAACCAAGGTGCACTTTCTCATAGAAAGTAATGCAAAATGGATTAATCCGTTCCAGACTTTTAAAAACCAACCCTAAAACAGCAATTTCACATGAATTTTACTGTTTAACGATAGTAAGATCATGGCCACACATAAACTCCTGGCAAATAGAAGGGGAAGAAATGGAGGCAGTGAGAGATTTTACTTTCTTGGGTTCCATGATCACTGCAGATGGTGACAGCAGTCACGAAATTAAAAGACGCCTGCTTCTTGGGAGAAAAGTGATGACAAACCTAGACAGCATCTTAAAAAGTAGAGACATCACCTTGCCAACAAAGGTCCGTATAGTTAAAGCCATGGTTTTCCCAGTAGTGATGTATGGAAGTGAGAGCTGGACCATCAAGAAGGCTGATTGCCAAAGAATGGATGCTTTTGAATTATGGTGCTGGAGGAGACTCTTGAGAGTCCCATGGACTGTGAGAAGATCAAACCTCTCCATTCTGAAGGAAATCAGCCCTGAGTGCTCACTGGAAGGGCAGATCCTGAAGCTGAGGCTCCAAGACTTTGGCCACCTCATGAGAAGAGAAGACTCCCTGGAAAAGACCCTGATGCTGGGAAAGATGGAGGGCAGAAGGAGAAGGGGATGACAGAGGACGAGATGGTTGGACAGTGTTGTCGAAGCTACCAGCATGAGTTTGACCAAACTGGGAGGCAGTGGAAGACAGGAGAGCCTGGCATGCTCTGGTCCATGGGGTCACGAAGAGTCGGACACGACTAAACAACAACAACAACAAGACTTCCAAAAAATTTGAAAACCAAGGTGCAGCTTCCGACTGCTGCAGGCACCCTGGAAACAATAGCCGACAGCCGTGTCGGACGTTCGGCTTCCGAAAAACATTCGAAAACCGGAACACTTACTTTCAGGTTTTTGGTGTTTGGGAACCAAGGTGTTTGAGTACCAAGGTACCACTGTACTGAGCTCTTAGGATGCTTTCAAACTCTGAGTACTACCCCAGGGGCGGCGAACCTTTGGCCTTCCAGTTGTTGCGGAACCAACTCCCACCAGCCTCAGCATGTAGGGTCAGTGGCCAGGGTTGATGGGAGTTATAGTTCAGCCGCCCCAAAGTTTCCCCTGTCTGCATTACCCGGTCATTGCTCCTCTACTGCAAGCTACATGCAGAATTGCAATTTGCTTTTCACATTTCAGAACGGGACACATTTTTGGGTTCCCCAACTTGTTTTGGGGACGCGGGTGGCACTGTGGGTAAAACCTCAGCACCTAGGACTTGCCAATCGTATGGTCGGCGGTTCAAATCCCCGCGGCGGGGTGAGCTCCCGTCGTTCGGTCCCAGCTCCTGCCCAGCTAGCAGTTCGAAAGCACTCTTAAGTAGATAAATAGGTACCGCTTTATAGCGGGAAGGTAAACGCCGTTTCCGTGTGCTGCGCTGGTGCTGGCTCGCCAGCTGCAGCTTTGTCACGCTGGCCACGTGACCCGGAAGTGTCTTCGGACGGCGCCGGCTCACGGCCTCTAGAGCGAGATGAGCACGCAACCCTAGAGTCGGACTCGACTGGCCCGTACGGGCAGGGGTACCTTTACCTTTTTAACATGGTTTGATGCAGCCATGCGGGCAAGGGAAGAAAATTCACCTGAGCCCATCATTTTAAAACCAAGTTTTAAAAGCTGCTAGCATTCATCTTAAAGCACTTCTTAAATTTAGTCACAGTCGTGTGAGTACAATAACATCGAGCCCGAGAGAGAGAGAGAGAGAGAGAGAGAGAGAGAGAGAGAGAGAGGGAAGTGGAAATGTGGGGGATTATTGCTATTTTCCTACTTTGTACAGGAGAGCATAATCATTATCCCAACCTATCCTTTTAAATTATTATTATTATTACTATTATTATTATTACATATAAAAACAATTCCATTTACAAATTTTATTTACAAAAAAATAGAAAACCCGACCATCTACTTCCTATCACACTCTGCACATGCTCAAAAGCATTTTTCATCCCAGAATCTGGGGGTGAAAAACACCGGGAACGCTGTGCAGATCGGAAGCTGCCTACTGAGTCAGGACATTAGCAGTTATTGGCTCTGACTGGCAGCTGCTCTCCGGGGCTTCAGACGGGGTCTCCGCACATTGTACCCCCACCCCCACCCCGTCCCAAATTTCGCCAGCGCCCGGTCTCTCTTACCTCTTGATCCACATCCTCACATTGCACGATAATTAAAGGCGGACTTTGCTGGGTCGAATAGAAGCCAGAGCAGTCTTTGTCCAGCTGTTTGAGGAAAGAGGAAAGGAGTAAGTCATCAGCGCTATAGAAAAATCCTACGTAAAAGGCCCACAAAAGAAGAGATATGGGCCACAT